TGCTGCTACTACTATTACTACTACCATCACTACTACTACTACTACTATCAGTACCTCTGCTACTACGAAGAAATAACAATCCAGATAAACATTGAAAAAAAAATCTTCAAACAACAAAAAACACACATTACAGAAGAACAAACATCGAACTACAAAAAAATAAAAATAATCATAAACAACAACAACAACCATATCAACAGCAACATCATTATCATCATCAACAACAACAACATCAACGACAACATCAACGACAACAACAACTAATAACAACAACAACAACTAATAACATTAATAAACTACATTATTTTTATTGCCTTATTATTTATATAAAAAGTTTACGAAAAAATATTCACTCAAGAACTTTATACTTTAAACGCCCCTAAATGCTACTACTACTATTACTACTACTGCTGCTACTACTACTACTACTACTGCTACTACTACCACTACTAATACTACTACTGCTACTACTACTACTACTACTACTACTACTACTACTACCACTACTACTACCACTACTACTACTACTACTACTACTACTACTACTGCCACTACTACTACTACTTTAACAATGATATTAAATTAATAATTAATTAGAATATAATCTTTTGTATCAAGTCGGAAATACGTCATTGTACTTGTATGTGTACATTCCCAACTCGGCATTCAAAAGTACATTCTTATCAAATTTCTATTTATAGCAAGACGAATTCTATTAAGAAAAGGATAGGTAGAGAAGGGTGGAGTGAGATAGAGAGAAAAAGAGATAGAAAGAGAGAGAGAGAGGAGAGAGAGGGAGAAAGAGGAAGAGAGAGGGAGAAAGTAAGAGATACATTTTTTACTTCCGCCCGTAACAATGGAAGATAATTTTTTTGAAATGAATTATTTTTAATTTCTTCATACATGCATGCATACATACATCAAACATACATACATACATACACACAAACAAACATACATACATACATACATACATACATACAAACAAACATACATACAAACATATACACACACAAACATACAAACCTATCAACATTATAAAGTCTTCCAGAGCTTCCTTGTAAGTTTTAACGAATTTCACAATCCTTTTACCCTTTTCATCTTTCATTCTGTCTTTCCTACTCCAAAATGATAGCATCTTTTGCCCGATATTACCGCCAAAATTATTATTATTATTATTATTCTTACAATCATCATCATCATCATCAGCTTTATCAACGTCATCATCATCAGCAATATCGTTGTCAGCACCAGTACCACCATCATCATTACGACTGCACACCTTATTATTATTTTTATTTTTATTATTATTATAATTATTATTATTATTTTTGAATGACGTCACTCTGTCCAGTATCCTGTCCCATCTCTCTAGGTGATCGTTGTACAAGGCCGCGTACTCCTGATGATGATGAAGATTGTTTTGTGATTATTATTATTATTATTATTATTATTATTATTGCTATTATTATTACAATCACAATGACAGTTATTATAAAAGGCCATCAATACGTGTAGAGGTTTTGTGAGTATTGAAAGAAAATATTGTACACATATCAAACTACTACTACTGCTGCTGCTGCTGCTGCTGCTTCAACTACTGCTACTACTACTACTAAATAATAATAATAATTATAATAATAATAATAATGATAAGAAAAAGACCACATGTACGTACATTAAGTTTTTCATCAATG